TTTTTCTGCTTTAAATAGAGACTTCTGCTTTTAATAGAGATGGGGTCTCACTCTTGCTCACGTTGGTTTTGAACTCCTGACCTCACGAGATCCTCCTGCCTCAGCCTCCCAGACTATTAGATTATAGGCATGAGCAGTGCGCCCGGCCAGAAATTTGAAAACTAACTGGCTATTTGATGGGGTTAAAGGTTGATTGTTGGCCGGGCGCCATGGCTCACACCTGTAATCCTAGCACTCTGGGAGGCCAAGGCGGGAAGATTGCTCAAGGTCAGGAGTTCAAGACTAGCCTGAGCAGGAGCGAGACCCCATCTCTACTAAAAATAGAAAGAAATTATCTAGACAACTAAAAATATATATGGAAAAAATTAGCCAGGCATGGTGGCGCATGCCTGTAGTCTCAGCTACTCAGGAGGCTGAGGCAGCAGGATTGCTTGAGCCCAGGAGTTTGAGGTTGCTGTAAGCTAGGCTGACACTAGGGCACTCTAGCCCAGGCAACAGAGTGAGACTCTGTCTAAAAAAAAAAAAAAAAAAGAAAAAAAGAAAAAAACACAACCTCAACATTATTATCAAACCTAAAAATAACCAACAATCAACCTTTGTTTTATTTATTTATTTTTTTGAGACAGAGTCTCACTGTGTTGCCCGGGCTAGAGTGCCGCTGTGGTGTCAGCCTCAAACTCCTGGGCTCAAGCGATCCTCCTGCCTCAGCCTCCCGAGTAGCTGGGACTACAGGCATGTGCCACCATGCCCGGCTAATTTTTTCTATTTTTTTTTTAGCTGTGCAAGTAGTTTCTTTCTATTTTTTAAGTAGAGACAAGGTCTTGCTCTTGCTTAGGCTGATCTCGAACTCCTGAGCTCAAACTATCCACTCTCCTTGGCCTCCTAGAGTGCTAGGATTATAGGCGTGAGCCACCGCAGCCGGTCTATAAAATACTTTTTTAATTGCATGAAGGAAGATGCTATTCCTATTTTATGGATGGGGAAACTAAAGCTTCCAGAGGTTAAGTAAGTTGCCCCAAAATCACACAGGTGGTAAAATTATGAGTCTGGAATGTAAACATACCCATTTGAGTCCAGAATTTAAGCTATTAACCTTGGGTGTACATTTCCAGAGGAGGGAGAGCAACGCATGGATTTATTGTGAGGCATGATGTAGCCCTGCTGACTTAGGGAGTTCTGGAAGCAAGAAGGGCTAAAATGGTGGAGGCTAGGCCAGGGTGTGGTAGGGTTGAGAAATGGCTTACCTTTTAGATTCATTGTCACCTAGGGGCAGACTCATGGTTATGAGCCCGGTGTGGGCTTAGGAGCCGGATACTGTGGTTTGAGTCCTGGCTATGCCACTTGCTAGCAGTGTGACTAGACAAGTCACATAACTTCTTTCCTTCAGTTGTCCTAATTTATAACATGGCTATTAATAGAAATGTAAAATGATATAGCCAGTTTGGAAAACATCTTGGCAGTTTTTCTTTCTTTCTTTTTTTTTTTCACTCTGTTGCCCTGGCTAGAGTGCCGTGGCGTCAGTCTAGCTCACAGCAACCTCAAACTCCTGGGCTCAAGTGATCCTCCTGCCTCAGCCTCCCAAGTAGCTGGGACTACAGGCATGCACCACCATGCCCGGCTAATTTTTTCTATATAGTTTTAGTTGTCCAGCTAATTTCTTTCTATTTTTTTAGTAGACAGGGGTCTTGTTCTTGCTCAGGCTGGTTTCGAACTCCTGACCATGAGTGATCCTCCTGCCTTGGCCTCCCAGAGTGCTAGGATTATAGGCATGAGCCATCGGGCCCAGCTGAGGTTTTAAAAAAGTTAAACATAAATGTACCATATGACCTGGCAATTCCACTCTTAACCATCTACTTAAGAATATAAGATAAAAACATATGTTAGCTGGGCATAGTGGTATGTACCTATAGCCCCAGATACTCAGGAGGCTGAGGAGGGAGGATAACTTGAGCTCAGGAATTCAAGTCCTGCCTGGAAAACTCTATCTCTTAAAAAAAAAAAATCACCCCAAAAACATGTCTACACAAAAAACTCGTACACCAAAGTTCATAACAGTATTGTTCATAATAACCAAAAAGCGAAAACAACCTAAATGTGATTGGATAAACAAAATATGGTATATCCATACAATGAGCTACTATTAAGCAATAAGAAGAAACAGACTCTGGATGGAGATCTCATAAGAAATGTTCCAAATTTGGATTATGATGATGGTTGTATAACTTTGCAAATTTACTAAACATCATTGAATTGGATACTTAAATGGGTTATGTGTGGTATGTAGATTTAAAAAAATAGTATCTGTCTTATAGGATCTAACAGAGTTAGAACAGAGATTAGCATGCAGTAAGTGCTACAGAAGTTATTATGGGGCTAGACATATGGGGTGTAGTTCCCTGTGGTCCTTGCTACGGGAAAGGGTAATGGGGCAGTTTCCCTGCTCCAAAATCCTGGAACGTAGTCCTCACTGCCCTGGGCGAGATCTGGATGAGCCAAGGAATGGGAAGGGCTGGCTTCCAGGTCCCGAGGAAGGTTCCAGGTCCCAGGTTCCTTTCTATCTCCTATTCCAGAGGTGTCAGGTGGACCAAACATCCAGCCTTGTCCCTCTTTTCCTCCTGTGGGGAGGAGGAGAGGTTCCCCAGAAGGATGTTGCCTCCCTCATCTCTTAAACTGAGGACGGGGCCGAGTGTCCTCTGCTGTAGGCAGTGGGAACTGCAACCGCTGGGCCGCCCACGTGAGTAAGGGTGAGCGCTCACCCCGTGTTTCAACCTTCCTGACCATGTTGGAGGAAGCCACTGTTGCCTCCTTTTCACTGATAGGGACATTGAGACTCAGAGGGCCTAGGTGACCTGCCCAGGGTTACACATCTGGCACTCCTAGTCCAAGTCCTCCGAAAAGGTGGCGGGATGCCCTACCTTCTTTCAGCTGGAGAGAGACTGACTAACCCTTACTGTTTGTAAAGCTGCTGCCACCCTCCTGGCTGGGCGGCCTGATTAGAGCAAGGGGAAGAAGGGAAAGTGGAGGCAGAGGGAAGGACTCTCAGGAGTAATGACCCCAAACTCACAAGAGGGAATGCAACTGTTGGAGTCAGAGAAGGAAGAGGCCACTGATGCTCACTGTTTTGTAATATCCACTCACTTATCCATACTGCAATTTTTGTGGGCGTTCTCTCCTGCATCTACACTGTGCTGGGCACTGGAATGCAAACAGGAATGTGACTCTAGGGGATAAAAGAGTTTCCCAGTCCGGGTCCCTGCAGATGAGGCCCAAGCCCCTTCCCCAGGCATCTCTGCTGTGAAGAGGCTGGATTGAAGCAGATACCTTTCAGCCTATGAGCAAAAGAAATCTGGCAATGCTGTCTCAGGATCAGAGTTGTCAGCACTGTCCCCTAGATGAGACAGTTGTGAAGATTATCATCCTTCCAGAACTTTCCTCACAGGTGTGTGTATGGGGTGGGGCCAGGGCTCTTGAGGCAATTATGAGCTAGGGAGTCTATATCCTGGCAGGATACAAGATGCCCCCTCATGACAACTGCCCTGAAAATCTCTTCTGTAGGTAGTGAGTGTTTGGAGCAATAGAACAGCACAACTTCTCCTCCTCAAACCCTAGCCTCACCTTAGGGCTCTGCCTCTGGTCTCTGCAGGTGGGGGAGGCAGATCCTCATTATCTCTTTCCTCCCAGATGTTATTGGATGACATGTAGGAAAACAATGCCTCTGTTGTCACTGTGCAGAGAGCCAGCATGCAAGCTGCATCATTTGTCCCCTTATAGAAACCTTCTCTTGTCCTGGCCCCAGAATGATCAATTTCTCTCTGTGGCCCTCCTAGCAACTTTTCATACCTTTACTCCCAACCAATCTCTATATTTCTGCAGATGGGAAGCAGCCATATTCCAAAATCTGATTTTTATCATAAGAGAAATATCCCAGGGACTCATTCATTCACTCACTCAATTCACTTATTCACAAATATTATTCTAGGCAGATGCAGCAGTGATCACGACAAAGTCCTCATGGGTTCATTTTCAGAATAACAGGAGAGACAGACAGTAAAGAATAAAGGCATTCACACTTTCATGTAACAGTCAGGGATGCAGAAACTAAAGAAAGTTAAGGTGACAATGTGCTGGAGGTGTGTGTGCTGCATGATTAGGATTTTTATTGGGAATTCATTTTTTCTTTGCTTTCCTTGGAGAAGATGAGAGTGAGGGTCTGTGTGTCTCCTCTTCTGGCCTCTTCAACCCATTTTAGTAGCTCAAGCCTCACAAGGAAGCGTCCTGGGATTGGGGAGGAGAGTGGCTGCAGAGCCAGCCCCTCGGAATTTAGTTAAGGGGGCGGATATGATATTTAGATACTGTCATACTGAATCGGAGAAATGGAAATAGGTACTGAGAAAACCTATTTACTGTCTTCCCTGGGTGTAATAATACTTCCCCCCTCCAAATTGATTTTTCCTTTGTTCTTCTGGCATACCCTTACTGAATTCCTAACTATTTATTTTACATTCTGTGTGTCCGTTGTTGCCAGGTACTCTTCTAGGGGCAGGGAACAGACAAGCAAGGAACATTCTCGACCCACAGGAGTCCCTTCTGCACAAAGCTTGTAAACAGCCATCGCTTTATTTTATCTTTGCCCTCAACATTATTTTTGAGATGCATCTATGTAGCTCTTTTAGCCCCCAGGGGGCTGATACGAACAGTCCCATTTTACAGATGCAAAAACTGTGACTGCTCAGGGAAAAATGAGGAGCTCTGTGCAGACTCAATCCCAGGACGCCACCGGGCCACGTGCAGCGGCGCTTTCGGCCCCTCGCGATCCCACCCGCGCACACTCCCCCCTCGCTCCCTCCCAGCCGCCGCCGCGCCGGGTCCACGTGTGTGTGTCTGTGTGCGGAATGGGGACGGGGGCGGTGCCGCCGGAGGGGTGGGGTCCGGGCCAACGTCACGGGCAGTGCTGCCCAATCAGCGGCGGGCTCGCGGCCCCGGCGCTGGTATTGGGGCAGCGAGGGGGCAGTTCTCTATAACGCGGTCTCCGGGAGCCAGCGGGGAAGAAAGAAGCCGAGCGGGCGGAAGGCGCCCTCCCCGCCGCCTGGGCCCGGGCACCGGGTGCCGGGCCCGGGGTCCTTCCCGCCTCCCGCGGCTGCCGGCCGCTTTGTTTCCCCCGCCTTTGCGTTTCGGGCGACTGGAGAGGGGCTCCTGCCGGGGCTGCGCAGGGAACGCGGCGGCAGGAAGGGCGGCCGACCGCGCCGGGACACGCAGGGACCCAGGAGTCCGGCCGCCGGGAGGGCCGCGTGACGAGATCGAAGAGGGAGCCGGAGCTCTGCGGCCCCGGGTTGCGGGCCGGGGGCTCCCGTGAGCAGAGACCTCCCCGTCGAGGGGGGGCGATGTTCCCCTCGCCCGTGGGCTTTACGGGCAGCCAGGGCATCCCGCCGTTGGGACCCGGGCCCCCTCAGTGGGCATACCCTCAGGCTGCTCTATGGAGACTCTGTGCCCCGCTCCCCGCCTGGCAGTGCCGGCGTCCCCACGAGGGTCGCCCTGCTCCCCCACACCCCGGAAGCTGCGTCGGGGGACCCAGGAGTTCTCTCCGCTGTGCCTGCGTGCCCTTGCCTTCTATGCCCTTGCCAAACCTCGGGCGTCCTCTCTGGACCTGGGGCCTGGGGAGCTGGCGGCGCGGGCCCCGGTGCTGCTGGGCCCTCGCGCCCCCCTGTGCACTGGCGGCTGGGCCCCGGATGGCCTGAAGCACCTAGGGGGACAGGCCGGGCCGTCCAGCGATTCGAACTCCCCGGCCACCGAGGATGCCGACGACGTCGCAGTGTACCCGGGCGCTGGAGAGGAGGAAGAGGGCGGAGGCAGTTTCCCGCACTTCGGCGCTCGCTCCTGTGCACCTCCGGGCCGCTGCCCGGAGCCCCGGCGCCCTCGGGAATCTACGACCTTCTTCGCCTTGTCCCCGCCTAGGCCAGCCCCAGGTCTCGAGCCCCAGCCTGGCCCAGCCGCCAGCCCGCCTCGGGAGCCCAGTTCCCGGCCTCCGTCGCCACCTGTGGGCCTCTCCACCGAGCCCGCAGGTCCCGGGGCGGCGCCGGAGCAGTCCCTGCCGAGCCAGACAGCCGCAGTCGATGGAAACCCCCCGCCAGCCGCCCCCGAGGCACCAGCCACTAGTCCCTCGACGGCCAGCACAGCTCCGGCCGCGCCGGGCGATCTCCGCCAGGAACATTTCGATCGCCTGATCCGCCGGTCTAAACTTTGGTGTTATGCGAAGGGCTTCGCCCTGGACACTCCTAGTTTGCGTCGGGGGCCTGAGAGGCCGCCAGCGAAAGGGCACGCCCGGGGAGCCGCCAAGAAGCGTAGGCGGCCGACGCCCCCTCAGCGCAGCGCGCAGCCCCGCCGTCCTGCGCCCACGCTCCCCACCTCGAGCACCTTCAGCCTCCTCGACTGCTTCCCCTGCCCCCCGGCCCTGGTGGTGGGGGAGGACGGAGATTTAGGGCCGGCATCCTCGCTTCGCCTCCAGGGAGACTCTAAGCCCCCTCCTGCCCATCCGCTGTGGAGGTGGCAGATGGGGGGCCCTGCTGTCCCTGAGCCCCCTGGCCTCAAATTCTGGGGGATCAATGTGTAGGAACTCTGAGCGTGTGACCTGTTCTGCCAAGGGGGGAAGTTGGGACCATGGCCAAACTACCGGCTCGAGGAGAGAGCCCCGTTCCTCACGTTTGTCTATCCCCTTCCTTTACGTTTTATGGGCTGTGGACAGAGGGACTTCAAATGACAGTGATCTTCAAGCACCTAAGTGGTTGGGGTGACATTCCCTCCCCTCATCCTTTGCAGAGGAACCGAGGGCTGGAGTCAGGAGGCTTAACTGAAAAAAGCTGAATGACACAGATTCCTATCCCTCCCCCCTTCTTGGATCTCTGGGGGCAGGGCCTTCACCCCAGTGGCAGTAAAGGAGGCCACCACTTAAAGACCAAAAAAAGGGGGGTGGGAGAGGAGAGACCTCGGTGATGGACAAACCGGTTGTTTCTGTGTCTGTGGGAGCCTAGGGGTGTGGGGGTTGTGGTGGGGGTGGGGAGGTGATTGGCAGCTCCCTGGGGGTATCCCCCACCCCCACCGTCCAGGCCTTTAACCCTTTGATTCCCTCAGGCCTTCCCTAGCCTCCTAGCACCACCTGAGCCTTAATGGGGGAGGGAGCAGTTTGGGCAAGGGGAAGATCACCCCCATCCTGTTCTCTTTCTAGGCGCCCCCCAGCTCAAGTGACCCCTAATTGGTGAGATCTTCAGTCTCAGCCAGTAACCTTTCCTTTTTCTCCAGTTTTGGAGTTTCCTCCAATTTTCCCTGTTTGCTTTCAGTTTATAAGGTCTGGTGGGTAAAAGAGACTCCCCCCCAACCCCTTGATTAATCAGCTCCCTCCTCCAGTTTACTCCTCACTCTTAAGGGCTGAGGGACCTTTTCCTGGGAAAGTGCAGACTTTGCTGGGAGAAGGGGCAAGAGACTGTCCCAGGGAAAGTAATGGAAGGTGGAAGAAATCAATAAAATCAGACCAAACAAGTCGCCTTTCGAGGTCCTCTCCACCGATTTATGGATGGGAGGGGGTGAAGGGCAGGCGTGAGTCCCTTCTTTGGACACCCAAACTCAGCCCTTTTAAAGGGTAGAGACAAAACAAGCCGCTTTTTGCAGAGGGGGTAAACCAAAGGCCTCATGACCCAACTGCAAGGTCCCCTGGGGCTTGAAGGGGCAAAGTTGGGGTTTGGATGGGACCTGGGTTGAGGTAGGTCCGGCTTATCCTCGCAGCCTGAGGTATTGCGGGAGTTGTCAGGGATCTGACGGATCGGAAGGGGGCAGGGCCAGGAGATTAGGTCTGGGGTCAGAGGTTCTGTTTTCTAGGGGAGGGGAGAGATAGGCCCAGATCACACCCTCAGCCCTCAGGCTAGGAGGATCCCCTTGTGTCACAGAGGGGTGGAATGGCTTTCTCCTCCACTCAGGTGAGGTCAGGGGAGGTCAGGTCTTAGGGACATTCCAAGTTGAGGTATGAAGGGAAGCTGAGGGGCGGGGTTGGATCTGCCCTATAATCCAGGGACCCAGTGACCCTTCTGCCTGCACTAGTGAATATCACCCCCTTTTTCCCCTAAAATGGGGCAAGGGAGGAATAATTCCCACATACGACACTGGGGAAGGACTCGTCTCCTTTTCTGTGAAAATGCCTTGTAAAAAGTTGTTATTGTTTGCATAGAGCAGAATCTTGAGAAAAACCATTTTGGACCACAAAAGTTTTGTTTGGTTTAAAAGCTGTCTCCTTTCATTTTTCTTTCCCTGGGGGTGAGGCTGGGGGTGGGGTGGGTGGGCACCACTCTCTTTTTCCTTAACATCTGGCCTTTGTGAACCCTGCTGACCTCCCCTCCCCCCTCCAGCTGTGTTGAGGGGAGGAGGAAGGAGGGGTGGGAGAGGGCCTTCCATCCTGTGCTGGGGGGGTGTCTGTCTTAGCTTACCCCCCAAGAATGGAAAAGGGAAGGAAGAAGGTAGACTCGAGACATGGGGAGAGGATCGCTGTGAAGAGGGGGTGATGTTTGTGAGGAGAAATTGGGAAAGGCAGACAGACTCCCTGTTTTTAAAAAGCTCCTCGCTTTTAGTAACGTGCTCTGGGTCAACTCTGGCAATCTCAACCAGCCTGGAGTGGGCGCTGCGGCCCGAGTGCGGAGGAGGAAGGGGGTATGGGCTTGAAATACTCTTTCGGACTCTCTGCGGAGCAGAGGATGCTGTTAATCTTGCTACCCTCCTCCCTGCACCGCTCCCCACCCCCCAGTACAAGTGAAAGGGTTAAACCTCAACCTGGGAGGGGGCAGGGCAGTGAGTTAAAAAAAGGTACCTTTTGGCCAGACTTGGAACTCCCCTCCTGGCCCCAGTGAGGGCTAGTTGGGTAGACTCAGGACTGAGCACCCCCAGAAACCTAGTCAGGCACAGGATAGGGAACTATGTTAATTTCCCAGGGCTGCATTAACAATTTACCACAAACTTAGTTGTTTAAAAAATAGGAATTTATTCGCTCACAATTGTGGAGGCCAGAAGTCCAAAATTAAGCTGTGGGCAGGCTGTGTTCCCTCCAAAGGCTCTGGGGGTGCAGAGGAAACTTCCTCACCTCTTCCAGCTGCTGGTGGCCCCAATGTTCCTTGGCTTGTGGCTGCAGAACTCCAATCTCTGCCTGTGTTTTCACGTGGCCTTCTCCTCTTCTGTCTCTTATAAGGACACTGATGGTGGCTTCAGGGCCCACCCGATACTCCAGGACACTCTAATCTTGACATCTTTAATTTAATTACATTTACAAAAATTTGTTTTCCAAATAAGGTTATAGTCACAGGTTGGGGTGGGGTGGGGATCAGGACATGGACAGATGTTTTTGGGCTCCACCATTCAGCCCACCACGGAAACTAAGTCCCAGAAAAAAGAAACTTGCCTAGACTTTCTCGGGGAAGGAAGCATGTAATAGAGTGGTTGGGGTTAGGGTGGAGTATGGCCCCTCCAGAGCTGGGGCCACAAGTGTCCCCAAATAGCAGCAGCAGGAGAGAGTCTGACCCCTGGACTTCCCCTCCCCTGACAGTACACTAGAGCCCCCTGAGGAAGTCCGCTCTCCCTCCCAGATGTCCTTGGCTCTCCCGGGTCTCCCTAGGTGTCCACAGTCCCTGCTTCCACCCTTCCCCTGTACCGCCAGCCACAGCTGTTTGTTAGGGATGTGGATGGAGGTCGCAGGGTCTCAGTTTTGGTTTGGGTCTCTAAGTTCTCCTACCAGGTTATCTCTTTTCCTTTAGTCTCAGAGTTTCCTCCCTGTGAGCCTCTGGGTTTCTGCCCCTCCTCACCAGGGTCTCTTGCTGGAGCCCCAAAAGTGAGAAGAGTGAGTGCTCGCTAGCCTCACCCAAGTCCAGCCCGTTTACCATCTCCTCCCTCCTCCTGGGAGCCTCAGTCATCTCCCCCCGCCCTTGCCCCTTAAATCTTGGCAACCTGACATCTGCCCCTGAAACTGACAGCCCCCAACCACCAATGCAGCTGATCCTCCCTGCCCTGGACTTCTCCATGGCCTGTGACACCTCTGGGTGCTCACGAGGGCCTCCTAGTTCTCTCTCCCCAAAGGCCCTCTGTTTTCTGTCTCCTCTTCTTCCTTCTCTCCTCAGGAAGCTTTAAAAAGAGGGAGCTGGATAAAGTCCAGGTGGCACCTGCCCTCTGCCCCATCTCCCCCAGGACTGCCTTTGTTTTCCTCTCCCAGGTCTGCAGCTTGCGCCTGTATGGGTTAGTGACTGTCCCTGTCTCTTTTCCCTCCAATGCCTCTCCTGCACTTTGGTCCCACATCTCCACGTGGATGCTGGCTACTCATACTCTCCCTGTTGAGGACCAAACTCATTGTCCCTGCCCAACATCAGACTCCCTGGTCAAGTCTACATTCTGCTCACAGCTCTGCCTTTCTCCCTATTACCTTCCCGAGATTGAGCACCCTCAGTTCTCTGCTGGGTCCTCCCATCTGACCCACAGCTATGTAGTTCCAAACCTCCCCTTCCTCGCCCCTCCCTGGTATCTCCAGCATCCATGATCTCCCCTTCTTTACGGTGCAGTGCCCCCACCTCTAGTTTCCATTATCCTAGTAGCCACCTAAGTAGTTTCTGGGTGCCTGGTTTTTCCCTGCTCCACTCCGATCGGGTTACCTTCTTACTCAGTAGGTCCCCTGATTTTATAAAATGCAGCCTCCTTGGCCTGTCTTTTGGGATGCTCTATGATTAGGCCTTGGCCACCACCTCCCCTGTGCAGCCTCATCCCCCTTACCTGACTTTGTACGCTGTGGTCTGCTGTGCTGGGATGCACCTCCTTCCCCAGTCTCCCCCTACTCCCCCATTCATTCTCCAAAGCCATCTTCACCTTCATTCTCCAAAGCCCATTTGGAATGCCATCTCTTCCATGCAGTCTTCTGATTCCTCCAGTTGGATGTGCTCCATACCGCCTCTAGACCCTCTTCACCCTTCTGTGTCTGTGGGGGAGGGACTGTGGACCTGGGGGGGGGCGGGGGAGAGTACGGCTTTGAAGCCAAACACTGGTGCTTCCCTCCGTGGAGAGCCGGGGTCAGCCTACTCATGGTGGAACCTGTCTGACCTAAGCCTTCATTTTATTGCCTTGGCGTTAACTAAGAGTCATTGACACGTAACAGCCACTTCAAAATCACTCCTGCAATTATAAGCACTTCCTGAGAAGACACCGTCCAGTGTGCTAAGTCCCTCTACAAAGTGTTTATATTTTCTTTAAGATTTAAAAGGGTATTGATGACAAGGTTATAATTATTTGTGATTTTTTTTTCTTGAATCCCTCTATGATCATCTTGTATCTCTTGCCTCAATTTTTAAGGTCCTGGATCGGTGCGCTGTGCACAGCAGGCACCGTAAGGAATACTTGGCCAAGGGCCAAGGGCATATTTTGGAAGGTTTATATAAAGGACTGCTCTGCGGTGAGGCGAGTGGCCCTTGGCAAGAATGCAGTTCCAGAGCTTGTCCACTAGATGCTGCTGTCTGCTAGCACCAGGCGAGGTGGACCAGCGGAGAAGGGAGGGTGGGATAGGGATCAATTTTCCCAAGCAATTGAATGCCTCCAGGTGCTGGGCCCTGTGCTAGGGCCTGAGGGGGATCCATGTGCAAGACGTGGTCCCTGGACACCGGGAACTTAAGGCAGGTGTCAGGTGCTTTGCATGCATTATTTTGCTTTCATACCAATAGATGGATATTATCTATTTAACAGATGAGGCAATGGGGCTCAGAGAGATTAATTGGCTTGCCTGAGATCACACAGCCAGTGGAGGAGCAGAGTTTAGGTCTGTTCTGTATGACAGGGTTTCCCCTTAGGAGCGGGAATGGCACGCACTTGGAGCCAGGCATTGCTCTGAGTGCTTTGTGCTTAGTCACTCATTGAATCCTCAGAACAACAGCATGAAGTAGGTACACTTATTACCCCATTTTGCAGATGAGGAAACCGAGGCGCACAGAGGTTAAGCCCATACAGTTACAGAATTGTGCCCTTTTGAGTTTGGGTTCTTAACAACCACACTGCTGCCATGTTTCACAATGCTAGCAGCAACCAGTTCTGGGGTGAGAGTAGCCCCCCCACCAACAGGTGGAGGTCATAGAGCTCTGTGCCAGAGACATAAAGAGCCTGCCCTGAGGAGCTTATAGTGACATGGGGATAACAGGATGTGTAGTCCCTTCCTGGGGGCAGAATCTCTGTAGATGTGCCCTCTCTGAGCCTCAGCATCACCACCTAAAAGCAGGGAACTCTGTAGCAGTAAGTGACTCTTAGACACAGGAGATTTGTCATCCATGGTGATTCATTACAAAATTATAGCACTTGAAAAAATAGAGATGAAGTTCCCTACTGTAAAGTGTACAAAAAGTCCAGCTTGATGAATGTTACATGCACATGTACCTGTTTGATCATCACCCAGACCTAGAGAAACAGCATTTCCAGCCACTGGAAGGCTCGGTGGGGCCTGCTCCCAGTCCATCCTCCACCCAGAGACGACCACCGTGCTGGCCTCTGTCACCACAGATCCATTCTGCCTGTTTTTGACCTGCATAGAAACGGAAGGTGCTTTTTTGGGTTTGGCTTTTTTTGCTCAGCACTATGCACGTGGGATTCATCCATGCTGTTGTGTGAAGCAGCGATTAATTTATTTCATCGCTGTGTAGTGTTATACCAGGAGGGCAGACGGGGCTTCCTGGAGGAGGAGATGTCTGAGTTGAGTCTCGGAGGATATGTAGGAATTTGTGAAGAAGGCCCTGGAAGTGCTGAGAACAGAGCACAGAGCACGTGCAAAGGCACTTAAGGCAGGAGCACAGTGTGCATGTGGCAAGAGATAAGGCAGACAGGGGTCAGATCACAAAAAGGTCTGGATGTCAGGATAAGGAGTTTATTCTGAAGGGAACGGGAGCCCTTGAGGGATGGCCCAATCAGACTTCGGTAGCCATACACTTTACTTATTCTTGGTTCAATAAATATTAATTTGAGCACCTACTATGTGCTGGGCACTGTCAGGCATTGGGAGACAAAGGTGAGCAAAACAGGCAGGGGTCTGGCCCTCTTTATTTATTTATTTATTTATTTATCTTCTGTAACACCGATCACTGAGAAAAGGGTCTGGCCCTCTCAAGCTGGCAGTGGGGGCCACTGCTTGCAATTGATGATCTTGGGCTGCGACAAGCACTCAGGAGAGGAGTATGAGGGCCAAGGGCCGTGCCAGGAGGGTTTGCCCCAGTCGGGGAGAGCAGAAGGGCTTCTCTGGGGAAGTGAGACCAGCTTGGGAGGACGGCTAGGAGATAATGACAAGAGAGGAGAGGGGACAGGAAGAGAGGAAGAGGGAACAGTATGCCTGGGGAAGGGCCTTGGGGATCAGAGAACTGGGAGATGCCAGTGTGGCCGGAGCCTAGAGTAGGAGAGGGAGAGGCTGGGGCAGGGTCAGATCTCGTGGGGCCTTGAGCCCAAGGTAAGGATTTTGGCTTATTCTGGGATGCATGGCAGTGATAATCTGATTTGCATTTGGAGAGGATCACTGTGGCATCAGTGTGGACCATGGAGACAAACGCAGATGTGGGGAGATTAACTAGGAGGCCACAGTCATAGTACAGGCAAGAGGTGATGGTGGCCTGGGCCAGGGGACAGCAGCAGGGGTGGGGACATAGGTACAACTGACCAAATATGAAGTAAAGATGAGGGAGAGAGATGACAAGAGTCTTGGGGCTCTGGCTTTAAATACAGAGTTGACAATGATAGAGACAGGATATGGGGGAGACATCCTGAGCTCAGAGCCAGGGCCCTTGGCGGCATCCAAGGGAAAATGTCAAGTGGATGTTCGAGTTTGGTGCTTGGAGAAGGTGTGAGGGCCAGAGAGCTACTCGTATGAGTCACCTGGGTGTCTGTGGGAATGAAAGCTTGGAGGCTGCATGTGGTGCTCCGGGAAACACTGAAAAGAACAACGAGAAGCAAGGCAGGCTCAGGACTGGGTCTTGGGGAAACCCGAGGCCCGTTTCCTGGGGAGGTTGGTGTGGCGTGGGGGCAGGGGTGGAGGCTGTGAGAACAAGGCAGGGTCAGCAGGAGGGAGGAGAGGGGGCCTCAGCAGAGAGGCCTTTGCAAAGTGGGATCACCAGCCTTGGTGACAAATTTAGTGTGGGGTGAGGCAGATGAGGAATCTGGCTTGAGTCCCAGATGTTGGCCCTGGTGCCTGGGCCACCACTCATCCAAGAGAGACCTGGGCTGGAGGTAGAAATGTTTGGTTGGAGTCATCAGCATGGGATTGGACAGGAATGACTAGGGGATGCGTGTGGGCTGAGAAGTGGGACACTATGGAAGGTGAGAAGAATGGCTGGGGGAAGGAGGGACGCCAAGGAAGTTCTGGTAATGATGGCTGGTTGTCCACCAAAATCTGTGCTCCCCATGGCTGCCCAGGTGGACTCATTTCCCAACTTCCCCGGGCAGTCAGGTGTGGCCACGTGATTTCGTTTCTGCAGTGGGCTGCCAGGGAGCGGGGAGGGGGTGTCCTTCCCAGCCTGGGCTTTAAGACCCTAGGCATGCCCTCTCCGTAATCCCTTGCCCTTTCCTGCTGGCTGGAACCCAGCATGGAGGTCACCAGCTTTGGTCACGAGTCAACAACGGTGCCCTCGGGAGCAGCACAGGAAGGAACCTGGGTTCCCCAATGGCTGTAAGAGCTCCCCACTGACCTGGAACGCTCATTGGGAATGTGAGAGAGAAATACACTTTACATCCTTCAAGGCACTGTGGTTTTGTGGATCTCTTTGTTCTAGGAGTTTAGCCTAACTAATACAACTTAGCCTGACTAAGCTAATATAGTTTAGCATAACCCGACTAATATAACTAATCAGCCTAATACAATAGAAAAGTAAAGCATAATACAGTATTAGCCTAATACAACATAACTTATCCTAACCAATACAGGAGCCAAGAGAGGAATGTGCTGAGAAGCAGAACGTGGGGGCACGGTGTTGCATTTTGCACAGATGGGGAAGGCTCTTCTAGAAGGATCAAGTGGGCAGGAGGAGTTGCAGTTAGAGAGAGGGGAGTGAGGGAGATGGTGTCTGCAGAGGGCAGGGGCTGGGACCTAGGGCTCAGGTGGACAGAGGGGGACAGCGGGGGAAGTGTGTTCCCGAACAGGCTCAGACTCCTGCTCCCGTGTGCACGTGTACACATGCTTGCATATACACACGGGCACACACACGCACACAGGCATGAGATAAAGAGTGATGAACCTGGAGACAGGCAAGTTGGCAGCTGTGGGAACATGGAGAGGAGAGAACCTTCTAGACAGTTTCCATTTTCCCTGAGAATTGGGAGACTTAGTTGAGGGCTGCAGTGCGGGAGGGACACAGATGGGTTAGAGCAGTGGTCCCCAACCTTCTTGGCACCAGAGTCTGGTTTCATGGAAGATCATTTTTCCACAGACCAGGGGTGGGGGGAAAATTTCAGGATAATTCAAGCGCATTACATTTCTTGTGCAGTCAAACCTCTCTGCTAATGATAATCTGTATTTGCAGCTGTTCCCCAGCACTGGCATCATGGTCTCAGCTCCACCTCAGATCATCAGGCTTTAGATTCCCAAAAGGAGCGCCCAACCTAGATCCCTCTCATGTGCAGTTTACAGCAGGGTTCGTGCTCCTGTGAGAATCTAACGCAGCTGCCGATCTGACAGGGGGCGGAGCTTATGCAGTGACGCGAGCGATGGGAGTGGCTGTGAGTACAGATGAAGCTTCCCTGGCTCGCCCACTGCTGTGCTGCCCAGTTCCTAACAGGCCGGTGGCCCAGAGGTAGGGGACCACAGAGTTAAAAGATGGAGGAGCTGGGAGAAATTATGGGGTTGAGAGAGGGAATCTACTGACAATTCAGAGACCTTTGGAAACCTGGAATTGGTGGAGGTATTTCTTGGCCATGGGAGGGCACAGCAGGCAGTGGGGTGGTTAGGTAGGGAGTTCTTCCTACTTCAGGCAGAGGAGGTTGAGGACCAGGAGACTGAGGGTATGAAATGATGGCTCCAGGGGTCTGGGTTGGTCAGGGAAGGAAGCTGAAGCCAGGTGTGGCGGACTGGGGGGAGGGAGGGTGAGGCCAAAAATTCAATGGAGGCCAGGCGTGGTGGCTCATGCCTATAATCCTAGCACTCTGAGAGGCCTAGGCGGGTGGATCGTTTGAGCTCAGGAGTTCGAGACCAGCCTGAGCAAGAGTGAGACCCTGTCTCTACTAAAAAAAAATAGAAAGAAATGGAAAGTTGAAAAATGTGGAGGGGGGGCCGGGCGCAGTGGCTCACGCCTGTAATCCTAGCACTCTGGGAGGCCGAGGCGGGCGGATTGCTCATGGTCAGGAGTTCGAAAACAGCCTGAGCAAGAGCGAGACCCCGTCTCTATTATAAATAGAAAGAAATTAATTGGCCAACTAATATATAGAGAAAAAATTAGCCGGGCATGGTGGCGCATGCCTGTAGTCCCAGCTACTTGGGAGGCTGAGGCAGTAGGATTGCTTGAGCCCAGGAGTTTGAGGTTGCTGTCAGCTAGGCTGATGCCACAGCACTCACTCTAGCCTGGGCAACAAAGTGAGACTCTGTCTTAAAAAAAAAAATGTGGAGGGGGACAGGGGCAAAGGGCAGAGGCCTGGGAGGGGGTGCTGGTCCAGAGGGCGGGGCTGCCTACCTTTCCAATTGTGCAGGGACACCAAGATGGCAGCAAGAGTCCAGCTAGGGGACATTCTGGGAGTCAAGAGCTAGTGTCTTCAAAGTCTCAGTGGTGTGGCCAGGGTGGTCCCCCAGAGAAAGTGGGGTGGATGGTGGTGTGAGCCTCCTGGAGTGGTTTTCCCCCTTCCCTCTGCCCTGGGCCTATCTTTGCTGGGCCTTGGTCCCCATTTCCTCCCTGGGCCGAGCAACTTCCTGCAGAGGTGGGAGACTCACCACACTCATCCACAGAAGAATAAGAATAAACAATGATTTTTGACACAGGTTCTCATTCTATCACTCAGGCTGGAGTGCAGTGGCTATGATGACATAGCTCACTGCACCCTCAAACTCCTGGGCTCAAGCAATCTTCTTGCCTCAGCCTCCTGAGTAGCTGGGACTACAGGCATGCGCCACCACACCTGGTTGGTTTTCTATTTTTTGTAGGGATGGGGTCTTACTCTTTCTCAGCTTGGTCTCAAACTCCCAGGTTCAAGTGATCCTCTGGCCTCAGCCTCCTGGAGCACTAGGATTACAGGTGTGAGCCATTGAGCCTGGCCAGGTATTCATTTTAACTGAGGCACAGCTGAGAGAGATTGAGTAGGATGCTGAAGGTCCCACAGTGTTGTCTTGGCCTCCTGTGAGCTCCACAGACCGTGGCCACAGACCTTTGTTGCTATGAAGGCAGAGGGATGTGCCCCCCCACCCTTGGTCTCCCCCATGGAGGTACAGGGCCCTGCCATGGGACTGACATACTGCAGTTCCACAGGCAGGCACAGTGGAGGGAGGAGGGGATACTGGGAGCCCATTCCTGGATTTGGGGTGATCCCCAATCCCACAGCATGGCGGCATGGCAGCAGGGCCTCCTTTGGTGTTTTCATGGCCTAGAGGATGGGGACCTGGGAGCAGGAGCTGGGGAGAGAGTAGGAGCCCCTGCGGGGAATTGCGTCTATGGCTTATGAGGGCCTATACATCTGTTTGTGTGCGTCTGTGTGGCATTGTGAACTGGGAGCCCTGTGTGTGTGTCCGTGAGGGGGTCCTTGGGCATGCGCATTAGTCGGAGGTGTCTCTGCACATGCATGTGTGTGCCCAAGTCTGAGCGTGTAAGTGCCTGCATCTATCCCATGTGCAGTGAGTGTGCATCTCTTGGCTATGCACAGCTGTGCCTAGGAGTGTGTAAAGATGTGTCCCCTCTGCACTGAGGCAGAAAGTAGGTCAGCCTGGACATGTGGGGGCAGGAGTGGAGTTAGGGGTCGATTCTTCAGCAGTACCAGGCTGGATGGGGAAAGATAGTAGGAGTGGGGGAGAGGATGGGGAGGGGGAGGGGAGGCACCCCTGGACTTGGGAGCCCCTTAGCCTCTTCCTGACACCTGCCCTGGAGGGAGGAGCCAAAGAAGGGGTGGAGAGTAGGGGAGAACCTTATCACACAGGGATCAGGAATTCGGGGTGGCAGAGGCAGGCAGAGAGGGGGAGACATTGGGGTCTTGGCCTGGGCCTAGTGCAGTGGGGTACCAGCTGCTGCATGGAACACCTGTCTGTGGCTTTGGTCACAAAAAATGCTCTTTTCCCTTGGAAAAAAGGCTGGTGTCCCCTCTGCCTGATACCACCAGACCTGCTATAGCAAGATTCCATAGCAACATCCCTCCCTGCCTGCCTCCCTCCTCTGCATTCACCTGGGCATGAAGAGAAGCTGCAGGGGGACCCTGAGGAGTGTCTCCCCTGGGTGGGGAAGGGGATCGGGTAGGGGGCATCCCATCAGATTGGGGAGGCAGCACTAGATTTAGTTAGGACAAAGATATGGGCACCTATCTCCAAACCCTGGTGGGGTCTTTGCCAGGGACATGGAGAGGGGCACCCTGCATTATTTTTCTTTCCCCTGGGGAAGGACACGATAGGCTCAGGGCACCCTGCCCAGGGACCTGGCTGCACAGAGGGGACCTCCAATCCCAGCAAGTGGGAATCTTTAAGCCTTCAGATCTTGAATCCTCCAGCCAGGGGCATGCTTGTCTGTTCCCCTAGTGCTGGACAATCTTGACCTGAGGTCCATAGCCCTAACCCCATAACCCCCCGTGTCCCCTGTGGTAATGGGAGCAGGGAGTCTCAATGCCAGGGTCCTGGGGAGGGCAGTGGGTCCTCCCCAATGCCAGCATCCCCAGTGAGGATGGGGAGGATGCACTCCCCATGCTGGGCCGCGTGCCCGCCCGCCTCCAGCTTCCCACTTCCCCCTCCGCCTGAGCTGTGCAGCAGCAACAGTGCTTTTTCTCTCACACCTTCCAACCCGGGGCCCAGCCAAATAGCACCCAGCCCACAGCAAGCAAGCGGCTCACAGCAGCCCCGGAGCTGGCGCTGCTCGGTGCCTCCCCTCCCCTCCCTCCCCTCTCCTCCCTTCTCCAAGGCAGCCTCCTTCTCCTCCCTTCCTGTCTTCTGCATCCTGAAGCTTCCACGGAGAGCCCCAGTCCTGTCTGGGGCTCTGTCTCAGCTGCCTCATTAGTCCAAGTCTTGGTGAGCTCTATGTCACCCTGAGCCAATGTGGGCATGACTTTGGTCTGTCCTTTGTGGGTTTTGAGTCAGTCCAGACCCTTGTGGCCACCGCCGGCTCCACTTCGGTCTAACCCGTTGTGGACTCTGTGATCCTCTGAAGCAACAGGGTACCGTGCCAGCCAGGCCAGCCTCTGGGGCTCCGTGTCCGTCCTGGCCCCGTGAGCCCTGTTTTACTGTGAGCTGCTGTGGGCTCCCCGATACTCTGGGCTGGGGGTCTGTGTCAGTTTGGGCCAAGGTAGGTGCCATATGGTCCTCATTCCTTGACACACTGGATGCCATGGATAGACACCACCATCGCCAGCACTCTGTGGACCTGTCATTAGGCTGCTGCTTTGGGTTTCAAGATACTCTGTACTCTTAGGTCTGCCTGAGCCAAAGCAAGCTGCTTGTCATTCTTAGTCCTGGTAGGCCCTTGACACTTGACTGGGGTCAGTGACCCAGCAGCACTGGTGTCACCCGAGACTTGCTAGAATGCAGACTCTCAGGCCCCACCCCAGACCTCCCGAATCAGAATATACATTGTCAACACAGTCCCTGGTGATGCCCGCACACAGGAAAGTTTTAGAGGCACCATTGTCAGCTTCACGCCACCCCGGGCCAAGGCAGGAACCTTATTCACCCAATTCCACGTGAGCTCTGTGGCAGCTGGGCCTGCGAGGTGCCTCATGAAATAGGCCCCCATGTGCCCTCCCTGTGACCCCCTAGGTCTCTGCCTTCTCTGTCCCTCACCTTTCTTTGCTTCCTTTCCCAGGCCCTGCCTCTAATCAACTTCTTTTCCCCAAATCAAATGGCCACTCCCCTGCCATGTGTCCCTGGCTCCCTCCACACTGAATCCAAGCACAAAGGGCTTTTGTCATCCCCACCCTGAGCCTGGCTTTGGGGTTCCTCTGGCCACTCCATCCCTGCTAGCCCCCTGCCTGCCACCCCAGGCCACCCCAGCTGGAGGCCACTGTGGTAGTTTTCCATCCCTGCTGTTCTCTGCTTTGCACACGCAGCGCATAGATAGATCCAAAGTCTATATCTATATATACCTCTCACCCCCGCCCCCGGACGTCGTGCGTCTCGTTTGCCAGGCTGTGGTCGTGCAGTCTGTCGCTCGTTAAGGCACTGTCTCAGATTTGCATGTTTAATATTTTATCCAGGAAGCGCTGCTGGCTGGGGCTCTGGGAGGTTGTGTGAAGCTGACAGAATGTCAGGCCCTGGAATGGTTGCACACGGCTGGTGGCGGTGGGACAATCGTCTGTCTGTAGGACTGGGGATGGTGATTCCAGTTCCTGGCTGCTTGTCTGGGTTTCAGCATCAGGGTGGGGTGGCCAAAGGGTGGGGTTGGGGAGGATGTGTTGAAGACCAGCTTCCCCAGCCTGCACGGAGAACTGCCCTTCCTCGGGTCACACAGCGTCGGAAGGATGAGCCTTGATTTGAACTTGCTTTTTAGTCCACCAGGTCTTAGTCACTTCCGTGCTGGGGGATTTTCCAGTGGGAACAAGCCCTTTGACTCCATGGGGAAGTGGCCAGTGACTCATTGTCTAGGTGGTTCACCTGGTCCCCAGCACAAACCATGGAGCAGAACAGAGTGGGAAGGAGGAGATGGGCCAGTGCCGTGTGGCTTGGGATGTCACTGGGCTCTCTGGGTTCCTGTGGGTGACAAGAGGGCACCATGGGCATCCTCCCTCCCCACCCCACCCCCTACACATTAGAGACCCGAGTCAGTGGCAAGCACTGTGGAGTATTATTGAAGAACTGCCTTCTGTTCCCAGATATTTGTAAAGAACTTAGTGGGCAGGAGGGGGAAGAAGGGAGAGAGATGAGGCGCTGGCCCAAGGGCAGATGGAATCATCTGGGATGGAAAGGGGGTGGGGAGTAGACAGACACAGGCCTTTCATTCTGACCCTTGCAAGGCATGAAATGCCTGATTGTGTCTGTGTCCAGCAGGTTCAGTGGGGCCTGGAGGTCCAGGGGAGAAGGGGGAGCCTGCTCTATCCCCAGGCCCATGGAGAACAAGATCCCCACACATTCTGTGGCAATCTGGCCAGGCTCAGAGAGAAAGGGCTTCTTAGAGACAGCAGGATGGGGCATGGCCCCAGGGCCTGCTTCCCCCACTCCCTGCTAAGTTTCAGGCCCTGGAGGTTTATCTGTGTGGGATTGCTGGGCTCAGCCCTGGTGGGGGCAGGGCTCAGCCCTGGTGGGGGCAGGGGCAAGGAAGGGGTGTGTGGGGGAGGATGTGTGTGATTATCTCTCAGCCTGCAATGGGGACACCATCTCACCCTAGACAGTTCCACATCTGCTCCTCTCCCAATGCCAAGCTGGGAAGTTCTTCCTGGTGTCTAGCCTCAGTTCTTTCTACTGCCACTTCAATGCAATTACTCTCTGTTCTGCTATCTGGAGGGTGAAGGGGAGCATTGATGGGGCAGTATGAGGCATCCTCATGTCCCGGGGTTTGCGGCCTTCTGGTCTGATGTGGGAGCCTGGAAGCCTGGCCTCTCTCGTCCATTCCCTGCCCATGTACAGAAAGCATGCGTGTGTCTTTGGTCTCTATATACAGCGACACTCTCCTGTGGGCATCCCCACCATCCACCAGCGACAAGGATTTAGGAAGGCAGTTTAAAGGGCCTCCAAAGAGCCACAAGAGGTGCCACCAAGCTGCACACCAAAGTGCACATTTTATGGGAGGGAGACCTTTGCTCTTTGCAATTCCTCCCATCTAGGTCAGCAGTTTGCAGGCTCCTTTGGGGAGTTTTTGTCCAAAGGATGTCATGCAGAAGCAGAGAGAAACAAAACCAGAGGACAGCCCAGCTTGCTGCTGCACAGCCGAGCAGGCTGCTCAATGACTCTGCAAGAACAGCTGAGCTGCTGTGGCAATCACGGTGGGTGGGGACTGGGAAACCTGTCTGCTGCGCTCCTCCTGCCTCCTGGAAGCCCCTCCTACCCTCCCACCCACCACCATCCCCAAGGGGCTTTCAAGAGGCCCCCTCAGGACTAACTGTGCCCCCCAGTGCTGGCAGGGCACAGTTAGAAAAACACTGATCTGCAAAATCTAGTCTTGTTTCTTAACTTCTAGAAGCTGCCAATCAAAGAGAATAGGGGCCAACAGAGATAGGAATATGACAGTCCCACGAGTGCCCACTCGATTACAAGGGAAGAAGAAGTAAAATGATGCTAAAGAGCAGACTCACAAATCCAACGGGCTGGGCAGGCTGGGGCTGTTCTGTTTGGAGTGACGTCCATCCTCCCCAGTGACCTCTGGGGGCCAGACTGAATCACAGCACATGCTCAGAGTGGGGGCCTGGGGCATCAGGGAAGGCCATACTTGGTGGAAAGAAATCAGATGAGAAGGCCAGGTGCAGTGGCTCATGCTTGTGGTCCTAGCAATTCGGGAGGCCAAGGCAGGAGGATTGAATGAGGCTAGGATTTCAAGATGAGCCTGGGCAATATAGCGAGAGCCCATCTCTACAAAAAAATAAGAAAAATTAGCCCTAACTACTTGGGAGGCTGAGGTGGGAGGATTGCATGATCTTTTTTTTTTTTTTTTTTTTTTTTTTTTTGAGACAGAGTCTCGCTTTGTTGCCCAGGCTAGAGTGAGTGCCGTGGCGTCAGCCTAGCTCACAGCAACCTCAAACTCCTGGGCTCAAGCAATCCTGCTGCCTCAGTCTCCCAAGTACCTGGGACTACTAATTTTTTCTATATATATTAGTTGGCCAATTAATTTCTTTCTATTTATAGTAGAGATGGGGTCTTGCTCTTGCTCAGAGCTGGTTTCGAACTCCTGACCTTGAGTGATCCTCCCTTGAGTGATCCTCCCACCTCGGCCTCCCAGAGTGCTAGGATTATAGGCATGAGCCACGGCCTCTGGCCAGGATTGCATGATCTTGCCACTGCACTTCACTCTGGGTGACAGAGGGAGACCCCCATCTCTTAAAAAAAAATCAGATCAGAAATTTGAGAAAGACTGCCTTCCACAATGGTTAAAATACAAAAATATAGAACAACACGCACCCTGAAGGTAAATCCTTGGCCCACCGAGTGTGCTGACTCACCCAAAGCGCTCATAGCCTTAAGGTCCGTGGATCTCAACTGAGGCGATTTTGCCCCATCCCTGACATTTAGCAATGTCTGGGGACAATTTTGGTTGTTGCAACTCAGGGGTTGCTACTGGCATCTAATGGGTAGAACCCAGGGATGCAGCTAAATATCCCACAATGCTCCCCAAACCCCCCACAACAAAGAATTTCCTGGTGTAAATACCAATAGTGCTGAGGTTGAGAAAGCCTGGTCTAGGCTCTAGACAATACCGGAGTCTTTATCTATTTATTTCTCCACTAGAGGGAATGTGGCTGGAAGTTAGAAATAACGAGTCTCCTACTTGTCTACCGCATCTGCCTCAGCACCTTTCCCGTAGGTGCTCTCGGGAATTCATATTTGTCAGATGAATGTCTGAATTAAGGACACACCTTAACGTAGTAGGCAGCGCTCCCCTCCGTATCCATTGCCCAGTCTGCCTTGGGGGAGGCATGTGCTACTTCTCAAGTTTAGTTAATAGCCCCTGCAAGGGACCCTGACCCTGGACAACCCTGGGAGAAAGCTAGGGAGGGCTCGTCCAAAAGTGCCTGAGCTGTTGACTCAAAAATAACAGATGCTCATTCCGGTGTAATTTACATCTCATTTGCATACTGCTTTGAATATGATTTGCATGCTGCTCCTTTAAAGTTAAAAGGCACAGATCTCCTGGGCCTTGTCTTGCTTTCCCCACTTCTGGAGGAAACTCTGTCTGTCCCCACACCTCCTTTTTTCTTTTTTTTGAGACAGAGTCTCACTCCGTTGCCCAGGCTAGAGTGCTGTGGCATTAGCCTAGCTCACAGCAAACTCAAACTCCTGGGCTCAAGCAATCCTTCTGCCTCAGCCTCCCAAGTAGCTGGAACTACAGGCATGCTCCACCATGCCCTGCTAATTTTTCCCATATATTTTTAGTTGGCCAATTAATTTCTATTTTTTTTTTTTTAGTAGAGGCGGGGTCTCACTCTTGTTCAGGCTGGTTTCGAACTCACGATCTTGAGCTATTCGCCTGCCTCGGCCTCCCAGAGTGCTAGGATTATAGGCATGAGCCACTGTGCCTGGCCTCCTTCTTTTTTTTTTTTTTGATTCTTCAGCTGAAACAGCAGGTGATTTATTGTATACTTGTTATACTTGGCCACAACTGAGAACAGAACTAGTCCAGTATGTCAGGTCCAGGGCAAAAGACCATTAGGGACTGTTTTGGTATGAGCAAGATGAGTCTCTCAGAGGTGGCCGTGGCAATCAGATGGCGGTGCAGTTCTAGATCCACTGAGAGGCAAGTTCTAGACAGTAGCATGCAGTCCAACAACTTGTACCAGCATCCCCAAACTCTGGCACTCCCTGTTTCTGATCTTGTGGCCTTCACACGTGCACAAGCAAGCGGTTTACTTGGACCTCTGCCTCATCTTTCTTCTTTTGCACTTCAGCCTGTGCATTCGCTTCTTCCTCCACTTGACTCTCATGGCGACGAGGTTTCTACAAAGATGGTGCTAAGGCCAAGAGCTCTTTCCTTCTTAAAACCCCCTCTTCTCTTGGCTTTGGCTGCCACCATCTTCTGGATCCCTCCCCACTTGCTGGCTGCTTCTTCTCAGTCTCCTTTGCTGGTTCTTTCTCCTCTGAACTACCTCTAAATTTTGGAGGACTCCAGGGCTTGGGCCCAGGATCCCTCATCTTTTCCCTCTGGGTGTCTATGCTTTAAACACTAGCCCCAAATTATTTCTGGAGACTCATAACTAATAGCTTTCTTGAGTATGTGTAGGACAGGCTTTTGCTCTGTCACTTGGGCTAGAGTGTGGTGGCAACATCACTGCTCACAGCAACCTCAAACTTCTGGGCTCAAGAGATCCTCCTGCCTCAGCCTCCTGAATAGCTGAGACTACAGGCATGTGCCACCACACCTAGCTAATATTTCTATTTTCTGTAGAGACTCGGGGTCTCAATATTGCTCAAGCTGGTCTCAAACTCCTGATCTCAAGCGATTCTCCCGCCTTGGTCTCCCAGAGTGCCAAGATTACAGGCGTGAGCCACCGCACCCAGCCACTAATAGCTTCCTGATATCTCTACTTGGATGTCTAAAAGTTACCTCAAAATCAATGTGGCCAAAAGAGTATTGTGATTTCTTTCCTAACCCTTTTCCTCTCCCAGACTTCCCCACTTTAGTGAATGGTACTGTCATCTACGCAGTTGCTCAAGCACAAAAATCCAAGATAAGCCTCCCTCATCCCCTGTATTATTTATTGCCGTGTAACATATTGCCCCCAACACTTAGCAGCTTAACATAATAAACATTTATTATCTCACATAAAAAAGTGCTTCTTTGAGTCAGGATCCAGAAGTGACTTAGCTGGGCTCAGGGTCTCTCATGAATTTGCGGTCACTGTGTCAGCTGGCGTGCAGTCATTTAATGGCATGATTGGGATGGAGGATCTGCCTCGGGAGGGGGAGGGCTCAGGCACAGGCTTATTAAGTTAGTGTGATGGCTGCCAGGAAGCCTCAATTCCTTGCCCTGTGGACATCTCCCTAGAGCTGCTGAATGTCCTGTAACGGCAGCCGGTTTTCCCCAGAATGAGTGATCTAAAAGAGAGAGCAGAGTGGAGCCACAATGCCTTTTCTGACCTTGTCTCAAAAGTCACACAGCATTACTTCTACCATATTCCATTGTATTCTATTGATTAGAAATGAGTCACTAAGTCCAGCCACATTCAAGGGGAGAAGAATGAAGTTCCATCTCTTGAATTGAGGCATATCAAAGAATTTGTGGACATATTTTAACTCCTCCCCCCATTCAATCCATCAGCAAGTTCTCGAGGCTTTATTGTCTAAACATGTCTTGAATTAGATACTCTCTCCATCTCCCCTGCTCCTATCCCAATCCTAATCGCTCTCATCACTCCCTCTGCGATAGCAGTGGCCTCATGACGGGCTTTCTTGCTTCTCCTCCTGCCTCTTTACAATCCATTCTCTACAGAGCAGCCAGGATGGCCTTTGGACAATGTAAGTCAGATGTAGGGCCTTCTAGTTAATGAAGATGAATTGCACATGCTTTTCTCCGTCTCTCTTTTGAGATCCCACTAAAATGGTAATAAAGAAAGGAGGAAGGTATAAATCCATAGGGACAAAGAAAATATGGTATCTCAGCAGATAAAGGATTTCAGCAATGTTTTGGAAGATTGGAAGTGGATCAAGGAAGAGCCATAGACTTAGTAACCAGGACAGAGGAAGACCATGAAGAGGGGAGAGGGGATTTGGAGGCACTGGATTGGGCAGAGGGGCGAAGGTGAGCAAAGGATAGTTGACCCCCTCTGCCACTGCCCTGCACTGAGGGGCAGAAACAACGCTTCTACCTCCCCGTGGAAGACAAGAGTTCTCTAATCTGGAGGAACTGAAAGGCTCCAGAGGAAAATTCCACATACTAACACTTGGAGAGCTCCAGTGAAATAGCTGGCTTGTCGCCCAATCACTAAAGAGCAAAATCCACCACTTAAAAAAAAGCCTCATTTGTGCGTGCAGAATGTCCAATCAGCTTTGTAATGCTTTCCCCCTAAATGCCAATGGCTGACCAAGGATCGCCTCGCAGATGAAGACTCCTGTGTCAGTTCAGGTCCTGGGAAGCAGATACCAAATAGAAGCGCAAGAGATTTATCGGAGTAACGCTGGTGAGGACTAGAGGGAGGAGGGGGCAGGAGCAGACGGAGAAAGTCTTCAGACTGTGAGGACGCAGGACTAACATGTATGACATGCATGAAAGAAGAGGAAGAAAGGAGGAAGGGCGAGTGAGCAGAAGAGTCTCAGACTGAGGGTTCTCGAGGGTTCTGGCCAGAGCTTCCAAGCAGAGATTGCCCACCAGGAAAGACCCCACTGGGGAGAAATGTCCAGGCCCTCATTCCCCCCATGGGGCTTAGTCACTGGCTGGATTTGCCTGGGGAACATATGTCCTCAGTTCAAACGCTGCATTTGATCCAGAAAGTGTTGCAGCTGGAGAGTGTCAACTGACAGAGCTCCTTGTGGCAAATTCTCTTTCTTTTTTTTTGAGACAGAGTCTCGCTTTGTTGCCCAGGCTAGAGTGAGTGCCGTGGCGTCAGCCTAGCTCACAGCAACCTCAAACTCCTGGGCTTGAGTGATCCTTCTGCCTCAGCCTCCCGGGTAGCTGGGACTACAGGCATGCGCCACCATGCCCGGCTAATTTTTTCTATATATATTAGTTGGCCAATTAATTTCTTTATATTTATAGTAGAGATGGGGTCTCGCTCTTGCTCAGGCTGGTTTTGAACTGGATTACAGGCATTGAGCCTCCACGCCCAGAGGCAAATTCTCTCTAGAAGTGACATCTGGGTGGTGCATTTCTGTGGCTGCCACATCCTGTGTAAAAGAGAAAGACAAAATAAAAATGGAAAAAGAAAAGCTAAAGAAACAGGAAAAAAACCTACAACAACTTAAATACATCCCTCTCCATGGTAAATATCCTCTAATAGTTATAAAAGAAAAGAATGTAATGAAAAAGGAGTCATAAAGAATAAGACAGAGTTCTTGGAAATTGAATTAAATATACAGTAGGAAGGTTTGAAATGAGGTAAAAATAAAAATCACCCCAGAGAGTAGCACAAAAAGACAGAGAAATGAAATTCCTTTAGTCATTTAAATATTTGCCAAGCGCCGTTATATGCGCGACATTGTTCTGGTCTCTGAGGAGACACAGCAGACAACACTGATAGAGCCTTCTCCTAAAGAGTCTCTCCAGGAGAGAAGTATGTGGATGGAGACCAGCAGCCACCATGTCTGACTAGAAGAAGTTCCTGAATGAGAAGACAGATGAAGAGAGCAGGAAATTGAAAAATTAGCCAGGCACCATGGAGTGCACCTGCAGTCCCAGCTACTCGGATGGCTGAGGTGGCAGGATCGCTTGAGCCCAGGAGTTTGAGGTTGCAGGGAGCTATGATGACATAACTGCACTCCAGCCTGGGCAACAGAGCAACACTCTGCCTCAAAAAAAAAAAAAAAATCCTAGCTGGACACAGTGGTGTGCACCTGTAGTCCCAGCAATGGAGAAGGATCACTTGAACCCAGGAGTTCAAGACTGCAGTAAGCTGTGATTGTGCTACTGCACCCCAGCCTGGGTGACAGAACAAGACCCTATCTCTAAAAAAAAAAAAAAATCCTGTCATATGCTACAACATGAATGAACCTTGAGGACATTATGCTAAGTGAAACAAGCCAGTCACAAAAAGACAAATACTGCATGATTCCATTTACATGAAGTATGTAAAGTAGTCAAACTTACAGAAACAGAAAGTAGAATGTGCTTAGCAGGGGCTGAGGGAGAAAGAGAAATGGGAAGTTACTGTTCAATGGGTACAGAGTTTCAGTTTTTGGTTTTTTTTTTTGAGACAGAGTCTCACTCTGTTGCCTGGGCTAGAGTGCTGTGGCATCAGCCTAGCTCACAGCAACCTTCAACTCCTGGGCTCAAGCGATCCTCCTCCCTCAGCCTCTTGAGCAGCTGGGACTACAGGCATGCACCACCATGTCCGGCTAATTTTTTCTATGTATTCTTAGTTGGCCAATTAATTTATTTCTATTTTTAGTAGAGATAGGGTTTTGCTCTTG